GAATGACTCGGGCAACGCCCGTGTTTTACCCGATTGAATGTTTTTATTCCAATACCATTTGTTACAATTATAAATTGGAGCCGTGGATGTCACTCTTGTGAAACGTCCCGCTCCAAACTTTACATGTACATTAGGTCAGCTGGTATTACCCCTCATTTTCACCGCTAGAGGCGCGAGCGAATTGACTTTTTGTAAATATACATAATTATAAAGATAGAAGCTTCTATAGAAGATAATGATCATAATGATGATGCGCGCGCATCCGTGACATGAGGAATTGAGGAGGAAAGACGGTCGTGACTATATATATTAATAATAATAATAATAATATAATAATAATAATAATTATTATTATCATTAGATAATGATAATGATCATAATGATGATGCGCGCGCATCCGTGACATGAGGAATTGAGGAATTGTTGAGGAAAGACGGTCGTGACTATATATGTTGATAATAATAAAATAATAATAATAATATAATAATAATAATTATTAATATTATCATTAGATAATGATAATGATCATAATGATGATGCGCGCGCATCCGTGACATGAGGAATTGAGGAAAGACGGTCGTGACTATATATGTTGATAATATAATAATAATAATAATATAATAATAATTATTATTATTATCATTAGATAATGATAAAGATCATAATGATTATGCGCGCGCATCAGTGACATGAGGAATTGAGGAATTGATTGAGGAAAGACGGTCGTGACTATATATGTTGATATGTTGATAATAATAAAATAATAATAATAATTATTATTATTATCATTAGATAATGATAATGATCATAATGATGAAGCGCGCGCATCCGTGACTTGAGGAATTGAGGAATTGATTGAGGAAAGACGGTCGTGACTATATATGTTGACTAGACGAATGGTCCGGGCAACGCCCGGGTTTTACCCGAGTGCGTATATATTTTAAAAATGTTTTAATTAAAATACTATTCGTTACAATTATAAATTGGCGCCGTGGATGTCTCTTTTGTGAAACGTCCCGCCCCAAACTGTGTGTCTTGAAAATATAAAAATAAAAATGTGAACGGAAAAATATGTCCAGGGTAGCCTAGTGGTCATGGCATGTGCCCGGTAAGCGGAAGGTTGTGGGTTCGATTCCCATCCCTTGACACTTTTTTTATTTTATCCATTCTGACCAAAATCTATCCGTGAACTTCACACAGTGAACTTCACACAGACAGAATAAGGCAATTATATAAGAAGATAATCCAAATTGTGCCTTATCACACACTATTTTTTTATTTGGCCTTATTACCTTGTGTTTATAATCTATGACGTAATGCCGGTGGCGCGCGCCCGTTGGCTGCCGGCGAGCACGTGACCTCCCTGTGCGCGCGCATCCGTGACAGCGATGAGGAATTGAGGAGGAAAGACGGTCGTGACTATATATGTTGATAATATAATAATAATAATAATTATTAATATCATTAGATAATGATAATGATCATAATGATGATGCGCGCGCATCCGTGACAGCGATGAGGAATTGAGGAAAGACGGTCGTGACTATATATTAATGACGAATGACCCGGGCAACGCCCGGGTTTTACCCGATTAAAAGTTTTTATTCAAATACTATTCGTTACAATTATAAATTGGCGCCGTGGATGTCACACTTGTGAAACGTCCCGCTGCAAACTTTGTGTCTGAGAAGCGATATTTTTATAGAAAGATGATCTGGCTTTTGTTTTCTGCTCGAATGAATGTTTTTCTGTTAGAATTTTGTTCCTGCGTACAAAATAATGAAATGGTTTCACCCGTGGTCTCTGCTTTTTGGAATTTTTCCCGATATAATTTTGTATCTGCTAATCAAACATGATACAGCAATATCGTCATCATCATTTTCTGACTAAAAATATATAGTTTTAATAATTGATTTATATATATTTTTAAATAGCCTATCGTCTTCCCCGTATTTTTTACCTATGTATGGAAATTTTGGTTTGAATTAGTGAACTACTGCGTATTTGTATACCGGACATACAAACAAACATACAAACAGACAAACATTCATTTTTATATATATAGAGATTTACTCTTCATTGTTGGCTTTTTATATTATATTTACTCTTCATTGTTGGTTTTTATATTACATTTATTATTCATTGTTGGCTTTTTATATTATATTTACTCTTCATTGTTGGCTTTTTATCTTACATTTATTATTCATTGTTGGCTTTTTATATTATATTTACTCTTCATTGTTGGCTTTTTATCTTACATTTATTCTTCATTGTTGGCTTTTTATATTACATTTACTCTTTATTGTTGGATTTTTATCTTACATTCATTCTTCATTGTTGGCTTTTTATATCATATTTACTCTTCATTGTTGGCTTTTTATCTTACATTCATTCTTCATTGTTGGCTTTTTATATTATACCAATGATGATGCGCGCGCATCCGTGACATGAGGAATTGAGGAATTGACGGTGGAAAGACGGTCGTGACTATATATGTTGATTTACTATTCATTGTTGGCTTTTTATCTTACATTCACTCTTCATTGTTGGCTTTATATCTTACATTCATTCTTCATTGTTGGCTTTTTATATTACATTCACTCTTCATTGTTGGCTTTTTATCTTACATTCATTCTTCATTGTTGGCTTTTTATATTACATTTACTCTTCATTGTTGGCTTTTTATCTTACATTTACTCTTCATTGTTGGCTTTTTATATTATATTTACTCTTCATTGTTGGCTTTTTATCTTACATTTATTCTTCATTGTTGGTTTTTATATTACATTTACTCTTCATTGTTGGCTTTTTATCTTACATTCATTCTTCATTGTTGGCTTTTTATATCATATTTACTCTTCATTGTTGGCTTTTTATATTATATTTACTCTTCATTGTTGGCTTTTTATCTTACATTTATTATTCATTGTTGGCTTTTTATATTATATTTACTCTTCATTGTTGGCTTTTTATCTTACATTTATTATTCATTGTTGGCTTTTTATATTATATTTACTCTTCATTGTTGGCATTTTATCTTACATTTATTCTTCATTGTTGGCTTTTTATATTACATTTACTCTTTATTGTTGGCTTTTTATCTTACATTCATTCTTCATTGTTGGCTTTTTATATCATATTTACTCTTCATTGTTGGATTTTTATCTTACATTCATTCTTCATTGTTGGCTTTTTATATTATACTAATGATGATGCGCGCGCATCCGTGACATGAGGAATTGAGGAATTGACGGTGGAAAGACGGTCGTGACTATATATGTTGATAATAATAATAAAATAATAATAATAATATTATAATAATTATTATTATTATTATCATTAGATAATGATAATGATCATAATGATGATGCGCGCGCATCCGTGACATGAGGAATTGAGGAATTGACGGTGGAAAGACGGTCGTGACTATATATGTTGATAATAAAATAATAAAATAATAATAAAAATATAATAATAATAATTATTATTATTATCATTAGATAATGATCATAATGATGATGCGCGCGCATCCGTGACATGAGGAATTGACGGTGGAAAGACGGTCGTGACTATATATGTTGACTAGACGAATGGCCCGGGTAACGCCCGGGTTTTACCCGAGTGCGTATATATTTTAAAAATGTTTTAATTAAAATACTATTCGTTACAATTATAAATTGGCGCCGTGGATGTCTCTCTTGTGGAACGTCCCGCCCCAAACTGTGTGTGTCTTGAAAATATAAAAATAAAAATGTGAACGGAAAAATATGTCCAGGGTAGCCTAGTGGTCATGGCATCTGCCCGGTAAGCGGAAGGTCGTGGGTTCGATTCCCATCCCTTGACACTTTTTTTATTTTATCCATTCTGACCAAAATCTATCCGTGAACTTCACACAGTGAACTTCACACAGAGAGAATAAGGCAATTATATAAGTAGATAATCCAAATTGTGCCTTATCACACACTATTTTTTTATTTGGCCGTATTACCTTGTGTTTATAATCTACTAGCGGACGTACCCGGCTTCGCCCGGGTTTTACCCGAGTAAAAGTTTGTCTAACGAATCTCTCGATAAAGTGAACATTTTTTTCCCGGTCCCTTGAAAAATACTCGATAAGTTGAATAAAATCAATATTAATTGGTTCCCTCGGTAATTAGGAGTTAAAGGAATAGTATCTTGCCTTGGAATTGTATCATTATTCTTGTATGGATGTAGCCGGCTTCGCCCGGGTTTTACCCGAGTAAAGGTTTGTTTAACGAATCTCTCGATAAAGTGAACATTTTTTCCCGGTCCCTTGAAAAATACTCGATAAGTTGAATAAAATCAATATTAATTGGTTCCCTCGGTAATTGGAAGTTAAAGGAATAGTATCTTGCCTTTGAATTGTATCATTATTCTTGTCTCAAATAAATTGCCGTGTCATCCTGAATTTTGTCTTTCCTAATTTTCTACATTACAAAATCATCGTATCATCATGATAATATTTAGAGCAGATTGTTGAATTATAACAGATAAATTAGAATATTTATCTTGATTATTTCTAGACGAAAAGTTATTTCAAAAATTTTATTTGCTAGAAACCTTCCCAGTACTATACTAAATAACTTCCCAAAGTTTCTTGGCGATCCAATGAGTGGTTTGGTCAAGCATAAAGGACAAACAAACAGACACACATACATTCATTTTTATATATAGAGATGACGTAATGCCGGCGGCGCGCGCCCGTTGGCTGCCGGCGAGCACGTGACCTTCCTGTGCGCGCGCATCCGTGACAGAACCGGCCGGCCCATGACGGTCGTGACTATATATATAACTAGACGAATGGCCCGGGCAACGCCCGGGTTTTACCCGAGTGCGTATATATTTTAAAAATGTTTTAATTAAAATACTATTCGTTACAATTATAAATTGGCGCCGTGGATGTCTCTCTTGTGAAACGTCCCGCCCCAAACTGTGTGTGTCTTGAAAATATAAAAATAAAAATGTGAACGGAAAAATATGTCCAGGGTAGCCTAGTGGTCATGGCATCTGCCCGGTCAGCGGAAGGTCGTGGGTTCGATTCCCATCCCTTGACACTTTTTTTATTTTATCCATTCTGACCAAAATCTATCCGTGAACTTCACACAGTGAACTTCACACAGAGAGAATAAGGCAATTATATAAGTAGATAATCCAAATTGTGCCTTATCACACACTATTTTTTTATTTGGCCTTATTACCTTGTGTTTAAAATCTATGACGTAATGCCGGCGGCGCGCGCCCGTTGGCTGCCAGCGAGCACGTGACCTCCCTGTGCGCGCGCATCCGTGACAGAACCGGCCGGCCCATGACGGTCGTGACTATATATATATACTGGATGGATAATAATAATATAATAATAATAATAATTATTATTATTATTATTATTATTATCATTAGATTATGATAATGATCATAATGATGATGCGCGCGCATCCGTGACATGAGGAATTGAGGAATTGATTGACGGTGGAAAGACGGTCGTGACTATATATGTATAACAAACCTGATATAATAGTATATGACAAAATAAAAAAAGACATAACAATCATAGAGATAGGGGTTACCTCCCAAGACAATATCCAAACTACGGAGCTGACAAAGAAAAGAAAATACCAGCTACTGGCGAGGGAAATGGCCCAAACTGAAAAAATGCCCCTAAAAGTAGTGCCGATAGTCTTAACATGGGATGGAATAGTAACCAAATATAACAAACAATACAGGAAGGAAATAAACATAAGAAAAAGGGACTTTGCATATATTCAATCCCTGGTGCTAAAAAAGACGATGGAAATTATCTCAACAGAAAAGAAGAATGAACCTTACGATAAGTTACAGAGAAATAAAGAAATGGAAGCCATGGATAGATTGTTGGAACGATTTAGGGAGCTGGCATGTGATGACGAGGAAGGTGGAACACCGGACATGGAGCACAGGGATACGACGACCATAGAAGAGATCCAGGAGAACGACCTAGAGCAGATGACAGGAGACCTGACAGACAAGAATGGATCAAGGCCAGGGGACCATCTTATCGAGGAGCCACTAGTAGAGGCCATAGAAAGACTGCTGGAGAGCTGCAGGACATCAGGGGACCATAACGGCAAGGGCCACAGCACTGACCAGGAGTCATGATAGCAAATGTAAATATCTTTGTTTACTTTTACTGTTTTCATTTATTGAAGTTGTAAATAAAAATATGTAAATAGACTGACCATTCGCTACACTTTTTAGAGAAAAACTTGTAACCTTTTGGAAAATAAATTTTATTATCATTAGATAATGATAATGATCATAATGATGATGCGCGCGCATCCGTGACAGAACCGGCCCATGACGGTCGTGACTATATATAGGGATAATATATAATTGAACTACTTACGCGCATACGGTTCTTGTTTGAAAATAAGACATTCCAATGGTAGAATAAACTGCCGAAACTACTGGAAGGGTTCACCACTGCCAGGCCTTCCCAATATATTTTACCATTGCAATAAATGCGGAATTAAAATAAACATATTTAAGTAATTTATGATATTCTATACAATTCTACCTTGTGTCCACTCATACAACTAGCAAGTGTGTCTCTCAAGCCTATTTTGATGTTTCCAATAATATTTCTTTCGATGGAAAAATTCGAAAATCCTATAAAGACATTTGTAATACTTAAAAAAAAAACGGACCATAACGTTTTGACAGAAAGAGATTTGTTTGAAACCACTTCCAATCTATAAGACAACAAATTGGAAATAAAAAGGTTTACTCAACTCTATTCTTAAAACCGACAACAAAATACGTTTTTATTGACTTATTTTTATTCACACATAACACAATTATAAACATAACGATAAATAACTATTGTACAAATAGATAGCAAAAGAAGGTACCTCTCCCTTTGAAAAGGCATATTAGAAGAATGTATAATGTTTATACCTACTTGAAAACTTTACTAGTTGTGATGAAGAATTAGCCACAACACCGGTTTTATAAAATACAGACAATCTATATACCGCGGGCGATGTCCCTCTAGAAAATATAGATATATAATACAATTTTACACGAATAAATTTACTGGCAATGCGTTTCTTTTAAATATCATAAAATATTATCTCTACAGACCTTACTGCAATGATATGAGTTATTGAATGAGAGGGCTTGGCTCATCAGTAGTGAACGATCTCAGCGGTTTCACCAAATTAATTTCTAGACCACTCTACTATTTTATTGGATTTATGTTTTGTTATATACCCTGTATTTACTATGGAAGACAGCTTAGGGGTGTTTAGTGAACCTATGGACATAAGCCTATAGGACTTAAAAGTGCATTCAATGTAATTAAGTCGCTAACTACCCACCAGGATTATCATGGCCTGTACCATATGTAGACATGTGGTGTACCTACAGTAAAAGACAGTCGCTAACTACCCACCAGGATTATTATGGCCTGTACCATATGTAGACACTAGACGAATGACCCGGGCAACGCCCGTGTTTTACCCGATTGAATGTTTTTATTCCAATACTATTTGTTACAATTATAAATTGGAGCCGTGGATGTCACTCTTGTGAAACGTCCCGCTCCAAACATTACATGTACATTAGGTCAGCTGGTATTACCCCTCATTTTCACCGCTAGAGGCGCGAGCGAATTGACTTTTTGTAAATATACATAATTATAAAGATAGAAGCTTCTATAGAAAATAATGATCATAATGATGATGCGCGCGCATCCGTGACAGCGATGAGGAATTGAGGAAAGACGGTCGTGACTATATATGTTGATAATAAAATAATAATAATAATATAATAATAATAATTATTATTATTATCATTAGATAATGATAATGATCATAATGATGATGCGCGCGCATCCGTGACATGAGGAATTGAGGAAAGACGGTCGTGACTATATATGTTGATGTGTTTTACTTACAGTAAAAGACAGTCGCTAACTACCCACCAGGATTATTATGGCCTGTACCATATGTAGACATGTGGTGTACTTACAGTAAAAGACAGTCGCTAACTACCCACCAGGATTATTATGGCCTGTACCATATGTAGACTTGTGTACTTACAGTAAAAGACAGTCGCTAACTACCCACCAGGATTATCATGGCCTGTACCATATGTAGACATGTGGTGTACTTACAGTAAAAGCAGTCGCTAACTACCCACCATGATTATCATGGCCTGTACCATGTGTTATCTGATTACCCTATAGTTATCAAAACGAAGAATCTATATTTCTACGCTCTCATATCACATTTATTCAAATTATGAGTAAAATTCAGTCATTTTATACTCGATGTTAATGAGACGAAAATATCTTTAATTAAAAGACAGAAAATAGAGAAAAAAATGACATTTTCTTGATTTTATAACTAGTTTTCAAGACAACATTCCATTTAACAATTTATCTATTTTGAAAGAATTTTGTTATTTCCCTTGGTAATGAAGGTGAAGAATTTAATATAAAACTGTGACGTAATCTTAATTGGAAATCTGACGTCACAGTCTTTATGGAAAAAAAGGAACAAAAGACATTTCCCGTGAACTTTACCCTTTTTGATACCTCGTGTTGTTGGTTCTGGTATGCAATGAGAAAAATGCGATAGCTTCTCTCATTGGTAAACCGTTTTATCTGTTTTCAAACTCCACGTTTACATTTGACTGGCATAAATTTTGTTGCATATTAGCTGAATTACCTTTTATATTTTAATTTATAATATTATCTTTCTTAAAACACAATATAATACGGCTTATTCAACTTTATTCAACTGTAAATACAAAGCGCGATGTCCCGCCAAGGACACTGGCGCCCAAAAGAAAGCAACACAAGAGAGAGAGAGGGAGAATCTATTTTTTTTTTTTTTTTAAGTGTTCATGCTTATGATTGTAAAACAACATTTGAAAATTATTCCGCATCTGTTTCTTTTCAACGAAAAATCAAAATTAATTTTAAGGAGAAATTCCCATCCCTGGATACTTCTATTTTTCTGTTTATCATTACTCTTCACAATTCATCCTTTCATACTTCATCTACAAGGATAAAAATAATCGTTATTTCTCCTTAAAATAAATTCCGATTTTCGTTCAAAAGAAACCCATGCGGGATAATTTTCAAATCTTCAAATTTTGAATTTATTCGTTATTATAATTTTCAAATGTCGTTTTACAATTATTTTTCTTATATTTTAAATTCATATTTTATATTTATTTATGAAAAAAAAAACAATATAGAAAATAATAATTAAAAGGTCAGGTGTTGTTATTAAAAATAAAAAAAAACATATCCTGACCAGGAGTACATGTGCTTTTCAGAAGGCAGAGCGCCATCTGGTGGAACAGAAATCAACTAAACATTGATTTAGCCTGTTCCCTGATATTTGGCTAACCCAATTTCTTGATAAATTCGTGGATGGCTTGATTTATCAAGAAATTGGTTTAGCCAAATATCAGGAAACAGGTTAAATCAATGTTTAGTTGATTTCTGTTCCACCAGATGGCGCTCTGCCTTCTGAAAAGCACATGTGCTCCTGGTCAGGATATGTCTTCTTTGTTTTTAATATATATTTATTATAATAAACAGTAATATATTATGATACATTAGCGCGCCATCTGTTATCAAAATTCGAAACTATTATAGAGGCGTATGATTCTTTTTTAAAATTAAACAATTTCTACTGCCTTTATTGCAATGGAAAAATTAATGGAAGGCCTGGCTCATCAGTGGTGAACCCTTCCAGCGGTTTCGCCAGTTTAATCTAACATACCGCAGTTATATTGTATTTTTCGGTTTTCATTATTATTATTATTATTATTAATTTTTTCATTGCAGTAAGAACAGTAGAAATTGTTTTATTTTTAAAAAGAATCATACGCGTCTATAATAGGTGGAAACTTTGCCGGGAGGATATTGATCTAAAGAGACAAAGGTCGCCTCTCCCGTCAAACCATGGTCTCTAAGTGGACACTTCTCAATTTACCAAAGCTGGTGTTGTGGCATTGTCACCGACCCGATAGATGGCGTCTAGTTTTGACATCTATTTTGACG